ATCCAGCGGCACCGACGCCCCCCACTGCGGCATCCGCTGCTCCGGTACGGCGGGGACACAAGTGACCAGATGGCACCGACCTTCCTCAAAGGCAGCATCAATCCCCAAACGAGCCCCCCTGCCTGTTAAACTTCATCTCATTGTATTTCTAAATAGACTGGCCTTTTCATCAGAGAGTATTTTAAAACCACCGGCTCTGTAACCCAGGGGGAAATCACTCCAGCACTGCTTTTGCCCAGCCACACGGCTGGCAATGCCGGTGTCGGCACCGGTGCGATACCTGCGTGGTGCGGGAACAAGGCGGCGTTTGATGCGCGGACGGGGCTGCTCCGACAGCCCCAAAGTTTGACCCAGATTCAGAGCCACGGCTCCACTTCCCAGGGAAAAGGACGTTTGTTCAGGGCTCGAGCCCGCCAGCATCAAGGGAAAGACTTCAAGGGATTTTGAAACAGGCCCTAAAAGCAGGCTCTGCCACGCTAGATATAAATAAAAACCTGGTTTAAAAGGAGAAGCATGAATAACCCGAATAGAGCCGTGCCGACCCCGGCCTGCCCGCCGCATCCAGAGAGTCCCGAGCATCCTTCACGGCAGGCAGAGCCCGGCCCCGGGGATCCGTCCCGTTAAAAGGGGCCGGGCTGGTCCCCGCAGCGCCGAACGCTGCTGCCAGGGCGAGCAGAGGAGCCGGGGAAACTCAAACCCAGACTTCAGCGCAAATCTTCCGCCTGTTGCTACAGCAAAAAAGGGATGAAACGAACCTCGTGTCGCGCCACGGGAGCGGAGCTCGGCCAGAAATCCCTTACAGGGGTTTCTCCAGCACGCTCGCACCCCCACCCCTCGCCGGGATGGATTTCAGGGCATTTTCCTTTACCTATTTCTCTCAGGAGCGCATTATTTGGGCATCTCCCCTCCCCAGCATAAACAACGAACCCCAAATTTGGGGAGATTTTCCCCGAGACCGCAAAGATGCCTCCGCAGGCTGGACAAGCGCCCGAGGGGGCACTTGGGGGCTGGCACTTGCTCGCCCACCCTGTACACAGCAGCGATGCCCCATCCTCTCCA